CCCGACGGAACATGTACATGTAAAAGATATATCGATCGGTCGCACGCAAAATTAATGCCAGTGCTCAGAAAACTCTGAGTAACCTAATACAAGATGACAACAGACTTCAGTAAAAAGTAGAACGCGATATTTACACTGCTGAAATCACAACAGTCAACAATCTGTACAGTACTGTGCAAGCTTGACATGGGGATCCATGAACCGTTGATAGCGATAATTGATCTCCTTTGCCTTATGTATACGCCGCTTTTTCACTCCATATCCCGGAGATGGGGAGGGCGTGGCTGCGAACTCCATTCGAACATGGCGTTGGATGCGTATTTTTTATTTAGATACAAAGCTACTGTCATCTCGGCTTGTGGTGGAAAAAGGCCTTACTATTATTGTCTTTAAATGGCAACATCGGCAATATTTCGCCAGAAATGCAGCGGCCGCTATGTTCGTCTGAAGTACGTAGCCACGCCCTCCCCATCTCCTTGATATAGAGTGCATCTGTATTAACATGAACTTCAAATAAGTAGGGATCGCACGTACATATTTGAAAGCAGAACAGAACAGAACCCTAAATCAAATCGCCGATGTATGTCACCGACTGTAACTTACAATCGCTTTCTGTCGCCTGAATGACTAGAGAGGGAGATAACCGAAATGAGCAAAGGTGAAGTGAAAGGAGAAAGATAGTAGCATGAAGAAGCAGATAGCCAGGGAGGAAACAAGGGGTCTGGCAGGTGTAGTACGAAGCGTAATAAGAACAGCTGGTCACCACACTGTTGTAGGTGCTGGGACGTGATATAATACTAGGGTGATTACAAAAGATGGCGGCAATAACAAGTTCTCAAGGCTGATAACTTGATAAGAACACGGTAAGCTGCGATCATTACAACTATGCCAAGATAAAAATGTTAGTCAATAAAGAGCTGGACGACGTCAGGCTGATCCTGCCCTGATGCGGTTAGGCAAAGCATATACAAAACAGAATCAAAGGTTGAACGGGAACGAACAAGGGCCAAGGGCCGAGAGCTCTGCCCATACTTTTTTTTTCTAACCAGATTAAGCCGGGCGGTACAAGCTGCTGCCTTAATCTGAGGCCTCTCACAATCAGGGGATTCCCAGCGAGAGGGATCGTATTGGTCGCTGGTGAGAGAGGGAGAGGACGTACTAGCTTTTGGATAAGAAAAAAGAAAACTTTCTAAGTTGTTGGCTTAGTAGCTGCCTTCCTTGTCCCAGAATCCGCAAATAATCGCGGTTCCCGGAACAGGGTCACTTCATAATCAGCGTCAACTCTGGGGTTCTATTTGACACGGTTGGGGAACTTGTTCGCGACTTCTAGCAGGACACTTACAGTCAATACCTTCATCTATTTCATTACCACATTTTAGAGTACCAATGTCCTGGCAGCACCAGTGTCCTGGTAACCACCTAATTACCCTTTTCCTGCGTACGCTAGGCGTTTTTACACGTGCTCACCTAAAAGTGCAACTCTTCTACCTTGCCGAGCACCTCAACCGCTAAACGAGGGACTTATCCAGTAAAATGTTGTCACAGTCATAACACAACGTCAGATGGGTATTGCCTCACCTTCCCAGTTTTGTTAGAGATCGCTTTCTCTTATCATTTATCTTGTCACAGTCACTGAGGGCATATCACACTTAGGTAGCGAAAACACAGCCAGTATGACTAACTGACAAAACGGACAAATGACACAGCAAGTCAATTGGTTACCGACTGAAAAGACTAAGCACGGTAAACGGACAGGGCGTACACAGGATGAATACGCCTAGGCACGAAAAAAACATATTGTGACCCTGCAGGTCAGGCAACTACGGCGCCTTTTCCAACCAAGAGTGCCCTTATAGCGCCTAATCAAAGGGCAATAGGGCGGCACAGACGCCCACCGCATCGAACGCCCACAAATGGCTGGTATGAAGCGGCTGCGGTGCTGCATAGAAATATGAATACACACATGCAAGCATGGTGTACTGCGGAACGCGTTGTTTGGCACGATGCCAAAGGAAACCGTCAGAAAAAAGTGCCTGCCCAATGCCCGAGCAGATGCAGAGGCTTTTAAACCCGTTTCCTCGCAGGTTTTCCGACCAATCTTAAATTCTCTGTTTTCGTTCCTTCCCCGCTTTTCCTTTTTCCCCGTTATACTAGCACTGTCCTGAAATAGACAGGGTGTCATATTACCGTGTCATATGTCTCTAAATAGTACAAATGAGAGCGGTTCAATTCTTTCAAAAAACACGAGCGCTTCATGATTATCGAAGAAAAAAAATATATTACCGGAATGAAAAAACCAAGGAATTCCAAAAGTGAGGAAAATGTTGTAAGATGCCAGGAAAAATGTATGCAAGTTCCTGTTTTTCAGCACAAACGGCTCTTATCCATTAGGCAGTTCTGCGCAGTTCGGTTTCATGGGGGGCACCAAAATTCCTGTAGCCAAAGTATTCCATTTATACCATATCATACCAGGCTCACCAAAGTTTACAAGTCTTATTAAGGGAACACTTGTAAGCTAACATGAACTAGCAGAAGGAATCTAGACCACGTCAAAACGCCCACCTCCCCGTACAGCCGATCAGTTGGCCGAACGTTCCATCTATCAGATGTTACCAGTCGGATGCGCCGGCTCACTGCCGAGCTCTCCCCCTTTCTGCTTCGAGCTCGCCCTTGTCCCGAGCTGACCGGCTTCGAAAGGCCGCGCTCCATAATTCCAACGAATTTTCAATAGTGGGCTGCTCCATACGGCGGCTTTAGTGATGGACATCGAGCAGACGAGGGCAATGACAGAGCTTGGATCCGTGCACTCCTTAGCACTACGCTTCTATTTGCCCAGGGGTGTGCCATTACGCCCATACAATACATAAATCTGTAGATATAGACACAATGTGTAGTCGGCCAACACAGCGCAGAATCGCTCAGTGAAGGAGCGCAAATTTTGTTCCAGTACTGCTACGCCGAAAAAGCCTACCGATGTACGTTTCCCTTTCCAATTAGCATGCAATCCGCTCGCTGAAGTATAACTATTTGTAGTTACTATGAGCCTTTGTTATTCGTTCTAATCAGTAATTCATTTCAAAATTAAAAAGTGCTATGTACGGCATGTATGACACATTATTTTAGGTTCGGTTCTCCTCGAATTTTCCACTGAGTTCTGTTTCCCGGCAGACTACATACACCCCCCCCCTTCCGCCCCCGCTCATCGACTTCGACATTATATAGAAGGATAGTGGGATGAGTTCATTTTCCAGGGCTATCAGAGAAGTGATGGCTAAAGGAAAAGTTTGCAACACTGACCTCATACTAGGGCAATATAGTATATGAGGTGTAATGAGAATGCCCCTTATCGTTTCTATCAACTGATAGGATTGGCGCCTGCACCCCGTTAAGCAATGTCCTATCGCTACTACCTATATAAATTTGTTAGTGTATGAGGCTCCAGCGCTCTTGCCTGAACAACAACGCAACGTTCCCTTCCGGCCGCCTATCAGCTGTTATCACTCGCTGTCACCTGCCGGGCGTCGATGTCACCATCGGTCCCCTCTGCAGTCCCTTTTCTGAAATCAAGCCTAGCAGATTGCTGTGTCCGTGCGGTGGTAGTGAATTATGGTGACCGACGGCGTTCTATGGCTCCCCTCAATCAAATCTTATCAAGCTGATATCACTCCCTGTCACCTATCAATAATGTTCCTGTCCCACACCTTATACCATACCTTGGAACCAACGTCCCATTGTTGCTGTGTCCTGCACTATGGACCCGATGGCCCTCCCATTCAGACGCCTCTTATCGGATCTTATCAGCTGATATCACTCCCTGTCACCCACCAATAATGTTCCCGTCACAGCCTCTATATCACTGCTTGGAATCAACTTCCTATAGCTACTGGGACCGGCTATGAATTTCGTGACAGACAGACAAACGCACACACACACACGACGCATAGCGTTTATATAAGTAGGATGATAGGAGGATGTATAGCGGCGGGCAGTGACAAGTAATGGGACGACAAAGTGATCGTGCTTCTGCCTGCAGTAGTGTGGGGCGTGGCCTATCAGTAGAAGGAACCCCTATGAGGAACCTACTTTTTGAGTTCTTATTTCTCTGTAGTTTTGAGTGAATGCCTGTCTGCTGCTACAAAGGAGTCCATAAGTTCACAGAGAAGCTATGATTTCATTTGACGTATAATCTGTTCCTTTCGAATGATGAATTTCTTCGCTTATGGAGCTTTAGATGAGGCCGTGGTGTGGAGATTCAACTCCATTAACTGGATAATAGCAATCGAAAAGCCCGACTTGCCATGATAAGGTCACCCCTGCTACGCTATTCATATCAAGAAAAGGAACACGAGTAGATAGTAACTTATAAGCTTAGAATAAACATATTTGAGCAACAAGGATGGCGAGCGCAACTGGCAGACTTAGCAGATGGTTCCAAGTACTCGAGCGAAAAAATAACCACGAAAGATATGCAAATATGCATAGGCTAGAACGTTAGGAAAAGCAAAGGGCATTCATCTTCTCTAGACAACTGTACAGATAGACTACTCGGACAGGCGCTCGTATTCCAGTTACGGGAATCGAAAGTAAGACACCTGGAAAATGCAGAACAAGTTTTGCGCTAAGTTCCACCCGCTAGAAAGGTCACACTTCACAACAATGTACAATATACTATGACGTGCGATGGCAGGCAGTTTATAAACAACGAAACAAAAGGTTTGCAGTTTGGCCATGGTGGGACATTCTGCTCGCCCCCGTCGATTATATATTATTAATGATGCCTCGTGGAGACATGTAACATGTTAAAGCTACGCAACATCATGATCCGCACTATCAAAAGCCTCAGCCTTACAGTAAGATGAGACGTGTAGTTTAATAGGAACTAGTTCCAGAAACTAGCGAATGTGCAAAATGCCCCTCCCATCCCGATCAGCATCCAAAATCGTTTTCCAAACCTTCAAATCTATTCAAAATCAAAATCTCCAATTGAGGCTACCGTCCGGCTATTTGAACATCTTGGAGTAGGTCTCTTTTTTGCTTGCAGCTAATTCCGCTCTCTTCTGAGCCACTACTGCGAGTTCGGCTTTCACGAACGCCCGTCGGTTGTTTGGCAGCTGGGCTAATCGTTTGAGATCTTCTTCAGCTGGAAAAAACAATTACTAAAGAAATCAGCAATTACACAACTTTCAACGAAATAACTATATCCTTAATGTACCCTTGGATTTACTGTTTGAAAGGAAACGCTCAAAGCAGAGGACATGTTGAGACAGGACGCAATGGCTCTGATTGGAGCATACCGCTTTCGAGGGCGATGAGCAACACACGCTGAGGCGCGCAATGGTGGCTGGGCAGGTGTCGACAAAGCCGCTGCCCACACTTTAATCACTTCCCGCTTTTAATCGCCGCGCCGCCTCCGGTACGGGTCTGAAATGTAAAGCAGCAAATGGATACTGTTTTTGCGCAATATTGTTAAACCAGTAAAGTAAACATAAAAGATGACAAAAAACAACAAGGTGAATATTCATCATCATCATACCTCATCAAGTTGCCAACAACCAATCCGTGCCTTTGCCCTTCGGTAAAGCGCTTTCTCGTTATCAGGATCCCGGGATAGAACCTAAAAGAACCAGTATCAGACGATTAAATCAAATGAGTGAGCAGCCATGCAATGTAATTACTCCGTTGCATTCCCTCCGACAGTGGGAATGATATTCTCCCTCTCTTGCTTAATGAACCCATCATCGAGATCCAAACTCCAAAATTTGTAGTAGCGGAATGTGTTCTCTACTCTCCGCATTCTAGACGAGATGCAGGAATAAAGTCCGCTTCGTAGTTGGTGCGCGCTGAGCCCTGGTCAGGCTCGTAAGGCTTCAAAAAGCGTTTTCCGAGATCTGCTACGTAATTCTACTTGTGAAAGGCGACAGGATAGGCGTCAGGAGGCGCTGATGAGTAAGTCTTCAACAAGTGTAGCTAATTCAAGTAGAGAAAATGTTACTGCTGGGTCCGTGGCGCAGTCCTCCCCCCCCCCATCCCCGCGACACGAACTGTAGCTACGGAATACTCAGCCAGCTTGTGCGTGTCCGCCGTGAGCAGACGGAGCGTTCTACACCCTTACCCCCACTATCCAAAGAATCGAAGGATAAAACAAGGTCGAAAAAAATTCATCCGTACCTCGGATGCTGTCTCAGCGGCTTCATACATGTTGCCGACGTTCAGGTAACATTGGGATAGATTCGAATACAGTGAGACATTCTAGAAAAAATATTTTAGCAACAAACCTCCGCAACGGGTATCAGATCAAAAATGAAACTGAACATACCTTTCGATCCAATTCCTCCCATTCAGGTTCACCCGGTTTTTCTCTCAAAATCAACGTATCAAGACGACCAAGTGCCTCTCTGTACTTGTCTATCGCTTCGGGTGTAGTTTTTCTGAAAACCTCGACATTTGCATTGGGCATGAAAAGTGGCTTCCTGATGAGCACTGCAAGACGCGCGTGATTGCGCTGCGGCGTAAGCTACTCACTGCTACCATTCAACATCGAACTAGTCAGTAGAGAATTTCGCGTTCCAAAAGCGCGTATGGAGGTCATGTTTAACATATGTCCGTTCGAAAAGACAAAAACTAGGTCTTAATTGATTCCTCCACGGATTGAGCCATGCATTCAACTTTATCTCGAAATAATCGTGCCTTCTGTAAGTTTTTTCGGCCCTATATAATGACTTTCAAAGGAAGTGAATGCAATAAAGCAGTGTTTTTCTACCTTCCAGACGAATCTGGTACCACTTAACTGAGCCTCCCGGAGTGAACGGTTACCCGACATCAGCAGAATTTAACCTAGGACTGAATCCCAAGAACGCGAGTGCGGTACCGCTTATCCTATCCTCACTCCGTTTTTGCCTTGGTGATACGTTAACTGAAGTGGACGTACTGAGGGTTTACTTCCAGCTCAATGGGTCAAGCCTGAAGGGCTTGACCTGGGACCTGGGGACCTTAGGACCTCCCTAGTTACTATCATACTACCTACCAGGGGAGTCCGCCTAACTTACCATGGAACTTTGAATGGAGACCTGGGTAGATCGATAGAGTCTATAAGGTTATTTACAAATATAGATAGCAAAACTGCAACCTGCATTTCACAAGCAACTTATGAGCAGGTAAAGTTTGTAATGGTGCAGTAGGGTGGAGGCTTGGTGGTGAGCTGTGAGCGAGGAATCGCATACGTCGAATCGAGTCGTCGAACGTCGAACCTTACCACTGAACCACCACGACTCGATTCGACGTATGCGATTCCTCGCTTATGCTTCACAGCTCACCACCAAGCCTCCACCCTACTGCACCATTACAAACCTGCTCATAAGTTGCTTGTGAAATGCAGGTTGCAGTTTTGCTATCTATATTTGTAAATAACCTTATAGACTCTATCGATCTACCCAGGTCTCCATTAAAGTTCCATGGTAAGTTGCGGACTCCCTGGTTGGAATCTTTAATCCATATGAATGCAAGAGTAGAGGTTATAACAATACCTGAGCAAACAACTGATTCCCTTGTAATCGCAACGTTTCCACTGATTGTAGTTTCTCCTCTACACCCAGTTGCCAGCTTTATGCGATCATAGTCTTCAGGTTGAGTCACGGATAACAAATGGAATATGAATCTTAGCGGACGTGGATTTCGCATCAAATCGTCCAAAACAGCATAGCCGGTCCTTTAATCGGTCACAACAAATAAGTACGACAAATCAGCAAGCAAGCAAGCCAATTAAACAATACACAACAACATACCCGGCTGTCAAAGCGGCTGCACACATGTGTGAATCATGTGAGTGGCCACCTCCTTTGTCGTGTGGTTTGGACAGATCCCGTAACTTTTTGGACACCATTGGATATGTACAGAGCTCAGTTAGTTCCACATCAAATTGGGAGACCTGATAAGAGTTGGATCATCGTCTAACAAACTAAATATCTAGTAAAACCATGCCGCAATATGGTCAGTAAGAAGAAGCAGGAGCCTCACAGGACTACCAGGTGCCGAACTAATAAAACAGCTATTTAGGTGTCCAGCACACCTAAATGCCTATATTATTAGAACGAGACACGCAAAAGCTCGTCAAGGAGCGAGCATTCCTGCCTCAGTCTATAGAGAAAGGAGCTCTGTGATGAGTGAATGAACTCTTCTGCGCAGAAAAAGGTTCACATACTACTGCATCAGAACACCCCCCTTCCTCCTATATTAAAGTAGCGATTACTTTCATTCGCTGCATATGGGACGTGTCAGCGCAGCTGCGTTTGGCGTAAGCTAAGCCGTTTTTTCCTTTCGGTAAGCAACAAGACTGATCATATGGTTCGTATCAGTCGTTTTCCACCAGTTTTTTCACTTACACTTTTCAGGAACTGGTGAGGGAGCAAGCTGGCGGCGTTCCAAACGCAGCCAGGCCGACACGCTCCATCATTAGCTCCATCAGACTGTATAAAGGTCATGAAAGGTAACCCATCGACTAACCTCATCGACTAACATCGACCGTAAACATGTCTCAAACACCGGTAATTGAAATTTCTTGCCAAATATCAGCTCCAGCGGCTTGCCATATCCATCTGGCCATGGTCGTCTTGTATTGTCAATAACTTCGTAGTCATCTCTTAGCATAAATATTCGATGAAAACGAAGGACAAAAATAAAACGGAACCGAAAAAAGTTTAAAAAAATGGAAAATGAAAAAAAAACTTCAAGCAACTGCAACTTCACAAAAGCGCGATAGAAAGATGAGAAGCTTATAAAGACATGTCACACAGGTGGCAGTCGTCAAAGTAGACTTTCTTGGCAGTGATAAATCAGTCACCCAATCGTCGCAGGCCTATCTCCTCTTGCCTCCTTTTATTCACATCCTTCCTTTTCTCTATTCCCTCTTTTTCCCCTTTTGAAAGCTCGACTAGGCGACAAGACCAAACTGTCCAGTGACAAACATTCTAGTTCACAAACGAATTGTTACTGGGAAACTCGGTTTTGCGCGACATCAAACCGTCAGCTGTGATACGCCCCTTCCTCTGAAACGAACAAGAGTTTAGTTAGTAGGTCACCGAGACGCACACCACAATGCGCCCGAAAAGCTTCCAGGCACAGTAGCAGGTGTTTTGTCTTTTTTTGCATATTCTAACCTAACAATTGCTTTACAAATACTTATTTCACATGTGTGAAAAGACAGAAAACACATAATAGTAAAAGGAGAAAAAAAGCCTAGTTTGGGCGCGCAGGAGAAGCGAAAGTACGAGTTATACGCGGGTGGGGCTTATACGACAGAAAATAGGACATTACTAGGATGATCATTGGCTGAGACTCAACCTTGAACTCATTAGTTAAATATTAAATATAAAATACCTGCTTTCCGGCATCCCGGCTTCTGGATCCACGGGGTCTATCGGTTTCAACGTCTCATAGTGGAATATCGCCTTGGTACCGTCTCGATACTCCGGCACTGTTCCACGACCAGCATGTAGCACTTTCTTCAGACATTTGGGGCGAGGTTCAGGCATTACCCTGCAACACTTTCAAAGATCCTCGATTATAAGCATGCAAATTTCGTGAATACGAATGAAATCAGGCGGATATGCGGCGGATGGTGGAGCTGCAAATGGTGAGGGTTACCAGACGCACCCTGGGGCCGTATGCTACACTTCCCCTCGAAGGGGAGATATCCCCCAGAAATCTCCGCTCTCTGCCGTTCTCTCTAACGATGCCCCTCGTCTCTCTGCTTCTGCCTCTCTGCATCCTTGCTCCCCCACTCTCGCGAAATCTCCCCAACGGCATTCGCTGGGGAGAGGGGAGCATATCGATTATACTCTGCGCTGCACTATATTCGCACAGAGCATGCGCCAGAAGGGTATGGATGCAGAGTGGCGAGAGCGAGAGAAACGACGGCTATTTAGGGTTACAAGACATCTGTCAACCGGATGCTCTCTCGCTGTGAGGGTTCAGAGGTGTTTTCTCATCGCCTCTGCTGTTCGAGCATTTAGAGGAAGGAAAACTAGGAGGCAGGATGAGAATAGGAAGGGAGAAAAAGAAGGAAGGAGGAAGGAAAAGGAAGGAAGAGGAAGGTCCCGCGGTTGACAGATATCCTGAGACCCTATATATTAGGGATGACGGCAGGGAGTGGAGGTTCAGAAGGGGATATCTCCCCTCGAGGGGAAGTATAGCATACGGCCCCAGGTTCGGCCGACCAACCGAATTTCTATTCCCTTAGATCTTCAAGGTGTGTAAACCACAAGACCCTCTCCAAGGAACGAAACTACTGACAAGTACACTGGCTGCGTTGCACGGGCTCCCGGAAAATTTTTGGCAAAATACAGCCCCCCTCAAAATTTTCTTGTTTGGTTCGACCAGTCGCCTCTTCCATCCCCATCCATCCCACCACCGTCCTGAATTTCCGACTTCCTACCATTTATCATTTTTTTTCGAAAGTCCCTATTGAAAAGCCGTTGAGCGGAGAACGGGGGGGGGAGGGAACTAAAACATTTTTTCGAAGGAAAGTTCGAATATCCTCGCTTGGGTCGCCGGGATCCACAACGTACTGCGTACATTGCTGAGACTACACAAGAAAAAAATTATCGAAATTATCACTATGTTGAGAAATCGAGCAAACGAGAAATGCTGCAGGGGTGGGTCGAAAGCGAAGAGGTAGTTCAGCTTTCGTTTCGCAGCTGCCTAGGATGGAAGCCAAGCAAAAGCATGGTCCTCCTTCTGTCCTTTCCAGTAAGGGATGGAATTCCTATAGGGGAAATCGCATTCCAAGCTCCTGTAGGAATGGAAGACGAGTACATGGCGCATCCCAAAAAGGGTCCATCGACGCCAAATCTCTCAACCTTATGTGAAAAAGCTGGAGGTAAATTGTCCGAAAAACGCGTCTGTCGAAGAACTCCACGATTCATAGATATTTAATTCGACATCGTATTAACAGTATAATGACAACTGTGAAAGAATGAGTTCTGACTAACGCTAAGTACGCGACCATTGCACATTAAAAAGACACCAATAGCTGGAGTGGAGCGGAGGGGGGGGGAAGGGCGAGAATCGAGATTTCGAGAAAAAAAGAAATACTTACAATACAATTATGCTTCAAAAGCATCAGTAAAACGAGGAAATTATTCACGATAACATTCCTATGAGCGATCACAAGCAGCAATCTACTTTAGCACACTTACTGATGAACCAGTGAAGACGATCCGGTTTGGATGCCATGGCAACGGGGCGCTGGCATCTAAACCACATTTCACTTCACGTCATCACAGGGAAGGTAAATTACTAAGAAATCAGATATTTAAGAAATAAAATAAATAAGTAATAAAAAGGATACATACAAAACGAAGAAAAGATTAAATGACTCAATGGGCACAAAATGAAGCGATGAGATTATCGAAGATTATCAGGCCACTCTGGGATGTAATACCGTCGTATTGAGCCTTCCAAAAGTCTATCCAGCCAGTTCGGGAAACCATTCAGAACATTCTCCACGCTTACAACACTACCCGTACGACGTAACATAAGTTCCTAAACACGGGAAAATAAGGATTCATGCAGAACATTCACAGTTTTCTGTGAGACGGACAAGACAATCCTAAATTGTCGCGTCGTCGCGCACGGCGTACCATGCGGCGATGCGCGACAAACTCTCGATATGCATAGTTTGCCTACTAAGGCTGCGAAACTCAAATCAATTGAAGCGCAAACAAGACTCCGTGAGGCCGATATATAACTTTCCCGTTTCTTTGACCTTCAAGTTCAACTGGGCAGCAAAATTCGTACGTCGTGCGCGACGTCGCCCGCCCCGTCCACCACCGAAGCATATTACGATTGTCTTGTCACACACCCTAGTTCTTCTCCACTACTTCTCAAAACCGAATCATCAAAACACGAATTTGGATCCGAATATCGAAAGACAAACTTGGATTGGTTCACACATTCCACGAAAACTGGATGGGTGGGAACTCATAACAGTTGTGCTTTCAGCATCAGGACGTTCCTCTTCAACACATTAGAAGATGAGCGCACCAGTGGAAAAAGCACTCACTGCCGGATGTTAGGGGCGTTTTAGAAGCTTCCCAACCACTTGCTGAGGCGCGAAAGCGAAAACAGGAGCCGCGCCAAACCCAGCCCTCTGACACCCACCAGCATTCGCAGCGAGCACGACTGTAATTCTTATATCTCAGAATGCGCCATTAAATGATTACAACAGGTATACATTTCAGCTTCGTCGGTTTCTAACGCTGAGAAAATCTTTCTCCAATCTTAATCTTCCTTTCTTACTTAATTAAAGGTGGACACAATCGCTCCGTCATTGGTGGAAGGGACAGGTGGATTGTGGTCCAACATCCTCCCGCAACCTTTCCACCAACTACCTCAAAAACCGCCCACCCCCAGCTAGCGTGCCCACTGCCTTTGAAGAATTTCATCTTCACGTTTCACAAAATTCTGATTTCTTACACTTACATCTTCAGCAGTCCCGTTATCACTATCAGAATCCGATGTGATATCGTCGTCGTCATCGAATCCAAGGAAATGCTGATTCGGTTGCTTCTTCTTTTCCGCTGTATGCATGGGGTGGTATATTGAAAAGTAGAGCTTCCAACCGCATAGAGCAAGAACAGTACCAACTGTTTGGCGAGGATTTATTGACTGAAACAACAGAAGAAATTCATTTTGTAACATTAACTTTCTGATAGTTCAAGACCGAACCGTGAATGCATTCGAGCTCACGTTTTCTAGGGAAGGGGGGGGGGCGGGAGGATGGGATTTCACGAGCTCAGAAAACCGCGTGATCTGCCTTGAGAGGAAAATGGGTGTAGTTCCATGGCGGATGGAGAGTGGTAAAGTTGTAAATGTTGGAGATTATTACGAAGAGGTGGCTGCCTCACTGGTGCTTTGTGGTGAAGGTCGACAAGGGGTGGCCCGACTGTGGAAGTAATCGGAGTGTTTTGGGTGGAGAAGGTCCACAAGTCTATTGATAGTTGGAGTTATTGAAACGTTATTTAGAGAGGTGATCCTGCTAGAAATAGAGGCTGAATAATTTCCAGCTGATAACTAGTTTTGCCTATAATGGTGGCAAAAGCTCAAATAAACCAGAAATTTGGGATGTGCCTGTAAGTGGAGGTCGCGCCCTGTATGAATATACTGTAACCCAACCAACACAAGTTCTGTTCAAATGTCATAGCGACACATGGAGGTAATTTAAACGGTTCATAGGTAGGTTCTAGAGGCTATGCAGAAAAGAGCAAGCTGAGCTGAGCAGTATTTACACTCCGAAATGTAAATAGGAGATCACTGATGCGCTGAGAACAGAGCACAAGGCTTGTAACGGGTGGTCTCTTGGGTTTTTGTCAGAAAACTTCTGCTTACCTTCTTAAGCAAAAGTCAGACTCTAGACGGGAGTTTTGGTATATCCCGCTGATCGGGCGGGAACGTTACGCCGCCACTTACCCACTTACTACCAGCACAATGGCTTTCCTGTGTCATTTCCTTTTAGCACTTAAACGTGATGAGAGGGTAAGAGTGGCTCCGGTGGCACAACGGCCTGCTAAAAGAAAATGCGGGTTCCAGTCCCGTCCGCGTTTGCCCATGACTCAGTCTTCTTGTAGTGCCCTTATGAGCGCGTAATGAGGCGTTAAACAGCAGTTATCAAATGAGAACTACTTCAAAACTTTCTTACCTTTAGTTTTACATAAAGGGAGTTTCCATCTTTTGGAGCGTTTTCCTCACCAAGAGGGAGTGTATGTTCCAGCAGTTTCCGGAACCAGGGCAAATTTTTCTCCACCATCAAGAAGCCAAATGAAAACGTTTTATTGCTGAAAGTGTTGCTTGAGCGGAACTGACTTTTACACGGAAAGACTAGGAACTATGCACGTAGCTTAGAGGTCGCGCTCAAGCACCATAAAAATTGCAGAATTACGAGAAATAAAGAAATAAGAAAATCGGTGAAACTGGCGTGAAAGGCCAGTTTGAAGATGATTGTTCAGCTCCACCCTCTATGAATTTTGATTCCGCGCAGTCCATGGAATGTATCTCGAGAATTGGAAGAACAGAAGAGAAGTTGAGAGAAAACATGGAAGAACAGAAGAGAAGTTGAGTCAGAAAACATACTTCTTCCCTCTTGATTCCGCAATTCTTCAAATTCTTTGTATTGAGCACGACCAAAAAGCTAGAAGAACCCCATAAACTTACTTCCTGAGAGGCAAAATATATTGTGCAAACTGCATCAGAAGTTTTTCTTTATTCTGTTCATCAACGAGAAGTATAAGCGATCGGCAGCCTGGTTTCAGCAGACGAATCATGCCGAAATAGCTTTCTGCTCGCAGTTCATGGATGTGTGGATTCATTATAGATAAGGCACTGAAAAACGAACAATCGAGGACAAAATCAGTGCAGATTCGAAGATGGTCAAGTATGAACCCAAGGGGATATAATGGATGTTTCAAAACGAGTGGTGGTGATTAGTATTATACATGCCAAAAGTAGTAATTCTTTAATATATCGTTTATACTTTGAAATTGTATTATTTAGTTAAACTTGATCAATTTCCAACTTGCTTTTACATACTTATCCTAATTATTATTTCTATTTCCTTGTGTTATTCGTTAACTTCTAAATGATTTTTGTTGAAACTATATGTTGTACTGAAAAATAATTTTTGTGTAAGGAGGTCTTCACAGAGATAGCAAACCAGGAGCTCGCTAATGATGGAGCTTTTTGAAAGACGGTTTCTGTTGGCCGGGCCCACGTATGGCCACCACAGGAAGTGCCATGAAAAATAAGTGAGCAAACGACTGCTGACTTGACCGTTAGAATTTTCATGGTGACCAGGGCACGTCCAATGCTGGGAACTCTTCAGCGGAGGATCGTATTCGGTCGCGAGGGTTGTACCAGGCCGGAAATTTTTTTGCTCGTTGGTTCCTCGTCTACGCGCGCTATCCACTACATGGAGAAACACCCATTAAGGGGGTGGGGAGAGGGGGATTGGATTTGCTAGTTACTCAGAGAAGAGGTACGTACGGCCCCTAGAAGGTTTCCCGAGTACGCCCCTCCTAGTTGGCGGCGTACTCAACGTCCTATACAACTACTGTTTTTGATAGTTGAATTTGGTGGTTTTTGGTGACCCCCACCTTGGAAATTTTGGAGGAAGTGGTATGAAGCTGGAAAAAATCAGTTAAATGGTAGGTAGGATCGGGAAGAGGAGTCGAACCAGAGGAGGAAATGGGGGGAAGGATAGTTGTATTTTGCAAAAAGAACCGCAGCGACGGGACGTGCCCTGAGACGTAATCCTGTCTTGTGGAGGTTTTTAAGCAATTTTTCACTTGTTGAGCATTCCCAGAAGCGTCAGCAAAAACGAACTATAATCGAAGGGTCGATGCAAAATCCATATCAGTTGCGAAAAATCCTGTCTAAAAAGCGCTTGGAGTTCTAAGCGCTTGGAGGTATGATTGGAGGGCGTCTAGGCTATCAGAGAGAGAAGGCCGCCTGTCACATCAAATCGATTTCGGTTATTCAAAGTCCGCAGTTTCGCATCAAATACAGGACAAAAACACGCTACCCGCCACCACTTCGTGGCAAATTCATCTACCCTGTGCAAAGAATTGCACTTTGCAACAGTCTACTCAAATACTCACCGTTGCAACCTCGCCTGAGGATTTGGCTTTTGCGGAGGATCAGACTTAGCTTGTGGATCCTCTGGATGCCACTCATCACTGGCGAAGTTACGCGGCTTTTCCTTAAACAATGAAAAATAGGTCAGATATTCAAGGAAAAACTCGATCGAAACTCACTTTCTTGGGCCTCGATTCCTGGTTCATGTAGTTAAGACTATAGCCAATAACAAGAATGACAAGGAACGTGGCAACAGCT